CATGAGCCTCCTTTGATTTTTTTAACAGCAACACAACAGAGTGAAAAGAGCAGAGTGAAAAGTAGTTATAGAACAAGGCACATTAAAGTTTGAATCCCAGATACAGCCCTTACCAGCCAGAACTTACTAAACCTTGAACATATCTTGAGCCTCAATTCTCTCATCTAAAAAATACTAATTTTGCAAATTTGTGGTAAGAATTAGAAATTCTGAGCTATATTACGGCTAACTTATATGGCTAACATTAAGTGTCTACTTGTATCAATCATTGTGGAGGTGCAACACTTGAATTTTTTCATTTCATTTTCATAGCAACCCTATAAAGTAAGTAACATTCCTTTACCTATACACTCACTTATTCAACAGTTTTATTCATTTATTCATTCAATAAACATTTGAGAGCCTAATGTGCCTGGTGTGAACCTGAGGATAAAGGACTGAACCAACAAAGTCCTGGCACTCATAGATCTTAAATTCTAGTGGAAAAGACAGACAATAAGCAAGAAAAAAGATAGAAACACAATATAATATCAGTAGTGTTAAGTGTTATGGAGAAAAATAAAACAGGATAAAATAGAGAAAAATTGGAGGATGCATTTTATAGAAGAGATGCCTCTCTATTGAGGTGATATTTGAGCAGGGAACTAAATAAAGCGTAAGAATGAGCTATGTGCAAATGTGTACGAAGAATGCTCCCAGGAGAAGGAACAGCATTATTGCGAGCTATTATGCAGCAGACCCTTTGCTAGATGCTAGAAATACATGAGGGGGCCAGACAAAGTTATTGTCCTCCAGGATTTTATATTATTGTGAATAAATGAACAAAACCATAATGTCTTAGAAGTGAAAAGTTCAATGAAGTGATGGAAGAAAGTACTATTATTTCTACTTTACAGATGAGGATACTGAGAGTTTAAATAACAAGCTGGTAAATTATAGAGCAGGCATTTAAACCCATAAAGTGTAGCTCACTCTTTTAATTACTGTGCCATCTTCTCCCTAACCCTGTCAAGTCTCCACTGGGAACCAGAGAATGACAAGGATCATAGTCTATTCTTTGTTATACCTCAATATCAGTACAATGGCACACAGGAGGTACAAAATAAGGTTGAATTAACTCAGATGTCCACTCTAGATATAATATGAAAACTCCATTATAATTAAAGACATCATGATCCTAAAACCAGGGAGATGGCTCTCCTTATTTAGGGAAATCCCATTTAAAAAATTCACAACAATAAATAAAATATAACATTTAAAGGTAAAAATCATAGGTTTTGAAAGAGATTGGAGTGAGAGAGAACTAGTGCTTATTACTACAACAATGAGCTATTTATAAGGGCTTGGTGAAGGGTGGATGGGAGACTATAATAAATGAGGGAGGAATAACAAAGTTATCATCATACAGATGTTAACCCAACTGGTGACAAGCTGGCAATACACATCAGGACTTATTGACACTATTTGCCCAAGTATTTTCTTCATTGTAAATCCTTAGGATTTAAAATATTTCAATTTTTAAAGCTGCTTCCTATCACTTAGCAAACTAGTTCACAACTGTCAGCACTTCAACTCATAAACTGAAGGAAGAAACTCCCAGGGCCATATGGAAAAAAATTTTCCCCATGCCATAATAATCTGTTTAATCTGTGTGAAAACATCTTATTCATAATTACTGTAATTTTTTTTTCCTAAATAAAAAGTAACATATATTTATTCTTGAAAATCTGGAAAATTCAGAACTATATAAAGGAGAAAATATCAACTTTAATTCCATCACCCAAAGATAATTGCTGTCAACATGAGGGGTATTTCTTTCCAATATGTGGGGGTATTTCTTTTTCTATATGTATATGTGTGTACATGTTTGATGACTGCTGTGTTGGTGACTGCTGCTTTTTATAGAACCATTATCATACTTTTTACATGACATTGTGTCTTGATATTTTCACTTAACATTACAAGAAGAGCAATTTGTCCATATTTGGAAACACGAATTTTAATAATGGTAAAATATTCTATATGCAATTAACCATCTCTCTACTCTTGATTCCAAATTTATACCATTAAACATGATGCTGGAATGAATATCATTTTACTTAATCTATATTAAAAGTAATGATTATTTTCTCAGGATAAATTCCAAGAAGTGAAACTACTAGTTTAAATTATATAAATATCTTATATCAAATTTTATAAGTGTTGTCAAATGTCCTCCACAAAGGTAATGCCAATTTACATTTCCACTATTGAGTTATCTGAGATTTTCACTCCATACCCACAAAAAAGCATTATATTTTTTAAAAATAGGCAAGGCAAAAAATAATGTCACTATTCTAATTTGCATTTATTTCATTAATGAAGCTAATATTTTTCTTTTTTCTATTAGCCACTTGTATTTCTTCTGTGAATTCTCTTTTTTTTTATGTTATTTGGCCATTCTTCTATTAGGGGTTAGCATTTTTTTCTCATTGACTTAAAAGAACACTTCATATAGAGAGAGATTTGCCATTTATCAGCATACATGTTACAAATATTTCTACCTCTTTGTTGCTGGCCTTTAAAGTTTTTGTAATATAGAGATGTTTAAATTTTTCATGTAATCATATTCATCATCACTTTGTTATTAATTTGCTCCATTTAATTTATGCTGGAAAAAGTCCTTAATTCCTTTCTCTTATAATTGGATTGGAGCTACCAAAAACTATTTACACCTAGAAAATCTACTGATGAAATTCCAGCAATATGGGGAAATGATCTAACCTAGAACTCTCTAACCACACGTAGATATACAGTTACTCTCTCTTCTCTCCAAACATATGGAAATATTGGATAAGATATGTGAAGATTTTTGTGTTAAAACTATAGATGAGCTTCAAGGGAAATCTCCAAATGCCAGAGGTAAAAAAGTGGAAATCAGAAGAGAACAATATTCTTTGGTTAAATTTATTCCTAAGTATTTTATTCCTTTTCTTTCTATGGAAAATGGAATTATTTTCTTAATTTCATTTTCACATTTTCATTGCTAGTATACAGAAATACAACTGATTTGGGTATATTGATCTTATATCCTGCAACCTTGCAGAACTCATTTATGTCTAATATTTTTTTTCCTTTTTGGGAATTCTTTAGGGGTTCTATATATATAAGATCACGTTATCTACAAACAGAGACAGTTTTACTTCTTCCTTTCCAATCTGGTTGCCTTTTTTCTTTTTCTTGCCTAATTGTCCTGGCTAGAACCTCTAGCACAATGTTTCATAAAAGTGGCAAGAGCCATTATTGAAAGAATTTAAAGAAGACATTTAAAAAAGTGGAAAGATATCCCACGTTCCTGGATTTGAATACCTAATATTGTTAAGATGGCAATACTCCAAATTGATCTAAGATTCAATACAGTCCTTATCAAAATTTCAGTTGCCTTTTTTTTTTTTACAGAAATGGACAGGCTAATCCTAAAAATCATATGAAATGCAAAGGACCCAGAAGAGCCAAAACAATCTTGAAAAAGAACAAAGGTGGAGGACTCTCTTCCCAATTTCAAAACTTACTAAAAAGTGTGGTACTGAATAAGGACACGTATATAGATCAATGGAATAGATTTAAGAGTCCAGAAATAAACCCATACCTCTATGATCAAGTGATTTTCAACAAGGGTGCCAAGACCATTCAATGGGGAAAAAATAGTCTTTTCAACAAGTAATTCTGAGACAACTGGATATCCACATGTAAAAGAACGAAGTTGGACCCTTACCTTACACTATATACAAAAATTACCTCAAAATCTCAAAACGAATCAAATGTAAAATGTAAAAGCTATATGGAGTAAATCTTCATGACCTCAGATTTGCCAATGGATTCTTAAATATGACACTGAAAGCACAAACAACAAAAGAAAAAATAGACAAATTAGAATTCATTAAAATTTTAAATTTTTTTTATTTTTACTTTAAATTTTGCTTCAAAGGATACTAGCAAGAAAGTGAGAAGACAACTCACAGATTGAGAGGAAATAATTGCAAATCATAAATTTGATAGGGGTTTGTATTCAGAATATTTAAAGAACTCTTACAACTCAACAATAAAAAGACAAATTACCCAATTAACAAATGGGCAAAGGATCTGAACAGACCTTTCTCCACAGAATATATACAAATAGCCAATAAGCAGAGGAAAAGATGTTCAATATCATTAGTCTTTAGGAAAATGCAAATCAAAACCATGAGATATCACTTCACATTCATTAGGACAGCATCTATAATTTAAAAAAAAGAAAAAAAGAAGATAACAAGTCCTGACAAAGATGTGGAGAAATTGGAACTCTCAGACATTGCTAGTGGGAATGTAAAATGGTGCAGCTGATAACAGTTTGATAGTTCCAAAAACAGTTAAACATAGAGGGATTTTATAACCCAGAAATTCTACTCCCGGGTATAGACTCAAGAAAATTGAAAGCATATCTCCACACAAAAACCTGCACACAAATACTCATAGGAGCATTTATTCATAATAGCCAATAAATAGAAACAAGCTAAATGTCCAGCAACTAAAATAGAGTATGCTCATAGAAAGGAATATTTTGGGCCATAAAAGAAATGAAGGGCCGGCCCTGTGGCTTGGTGGTTAAGTGCGCGCGCTGCGATGCTGGTGGCCCGGGTTCGGATCTCGGGTGCGCATCGAGGCACCACTTCTCCGTTCATCCTGAGGCCGAGTCCCACATACAGCGACTAGAAGGATGTGCAGCTACGACACACAACTATCCACTGGGGCTTTGGGGGGAAAAATAAAATAAATAAAATCTTTAAAAAAAAAAAAAAAAAGAAATGAAGTACTAATACATGCTACAATATGGATGAACCTTTGAAAACATTATACAAAGTAAAAGAAGCCAGACACAAAAGACCATATTTATGATTCCATTTAAAATATCACATGTCCAGAGTAGGCAAATACAGAGACAGAAAGTAGAGTAGTGGTTGTCAGGGGCTGGGGGAAAGTAGGAGACTGCTAATAGGTGCAGAGTTTCTTTTGGGGATGATGAAAATGTTCTGCAATTAGATAGTGGTAATACTCGCACAACTCTGAATATACCAAAAAAGCACTGAATGGAACCTTTTAAAATGGTGACTTTTATTGCATGTGAATTATATCTAAATTTTTAAAAGATTATTAAAATTAAAAAAAGAAAAATAGGCGCCGGCCCGGTGGCATAGCGATTAAGTTCGCATGCTCTTTTTCCGTGGCCCGGGGTTCACTGGTTCGGATCCTAGGCGCAGACCTAACACCACTCATCAAGCCATGCTAAGGCAGCATCCCACATCGAGCAACTAGAAGGACAACTATGACATACAACAATCTTCTGGGGCTTTGGGGAGAAAAAAAGGAAAAAAAGGAGGAAGACTGGCAACAGATGTTAGCTCAGGGCCAATCTTCCTCAAAAACAAACAAACAAAAATAAACATAAAAGTTAATACTGTACTAGCCCAGGACTTTATGAGACAAGAAATTCCACTTTATGAATTCATCATCATTGCAGCTGTGCTTATTATAGCAAAAAACTGAATAATTCAAACACTCATCGTTAGGGGACTGGGTAAATAAATTATCACATAATAATATTAAATATATAAAGTTATTTTTAAAAATTAGAAGCTCTCTATATATTGAAAAGCAAGGATTTCCAAGAAAAATTTTTTTTTTTTTTTGAGGAAGATCAGCCCTGAGCTAACATCTGATGCCATTCCTCCTCTTCCTGCTGAGGAAGACTGGCCCTAAGCTAACATCCACGCCCATCCTCCTCTACTTTATATGGGACACCACCACAGCATGGCTTGACAAGCAGTGCATTGGTATGCACCCGGGATCCGAACCAGTAAACCCTGGGCCGCCACAGCGGAGTGCACACACTTAACCGCTTGTGCCATGGGGCTGGTCCCCCCCAAGAAATATTTTTAAGTGAAGGAGACAAAGTACAAAACAGTATGTAAAGCATGCTACCAGTTATGTTAAAAATGCACACACATACTCACATATGCTTGAATATGCACTATTTAAAGAGACAGTGACTAATAATTTTCTAGAATAATTGAAACCTCATATCAGTAGATTTAAAGACAGATAAATCAACAATATGCTAGAAAAAAGTTGCTAAAATGATCTCAAAAGGAAATAGAAAATCTGAATAACTATTAGAGAATTGAAAAACTAATTTACCAATTTTCTAATAGTTATTAGAAAACTATTAGAAAAACTGCCCATAAGAGAAGCTATTTGCAGTACATAAAGCCAACAAAGGATGGGTATCTATAATATATAAAGAACTTCTACAAATCAATAGGAAAAGGCAGACAATCCAAATGGAAAAAAACTTGAATAGGCACTTCACCAAAGAGACTACACAAATGGGTAATAAGCATATGAAAAAGGTACTTACTGTACTTAGTCAGCAAGGAAAGACAAATTAACAGCATACTATGATACTCAAGATACTCACTGGAATGGCTAAAATAAAATAGTTAAACATGAAGCCCCAACAAGAATGTGAGCAATCAGAACTCAAACACTGCTGGTAAGAACGTAAATTAGTTCAACAACTTAACTGGCAACACCACTAAAGCTGAACGTACACAAACCCTATGACCCAATAATTCAACTCCTAGATTAAAGAGAACATGTAAATATGTTCATCAAAAGACATATATATATATTTATATATATATAAATAAGAACGTTCATGGTAGCCCTATTCATATTAGCCCCAAATTGGAAAGTATCCAAAGTACCAAAATCCATTAATAGTAGAATGGGTAAACAAATGTAGTGTATGCTATTGCATGAATAATCACACAATAGAATACCGCACAGCAAAGAGAATAAACTACAATTACACATAACATGATGAATCTCACAAATATATTGTGGAGTAAAAGAAGCCATATACAAAAGAATTCATCCTGTAGGACTCCATTTATATGTAATTCAAAACCAACGAAACAAAAAATCCCTAATCTCTAGTTTAGA